GGGGGGGGGGGGGGGTCGATAAATTGTAGCAAATTTTGCATGATCATCTGTCATGAAAAGGAGGATTCTGTAAATTTTGGGGCGCCCCCCTTGCATTAAAATAATCCCTCACCCCTCGTTTGCTAGCGAGGAACAATGCGTGACTGTCCCTGCTCAGCCACACCCTTATCACGCCGCCGGCTGCACTCACTGTCCACCAGCGAGGGGCTAAGATATTTCTGCTGCGTTACAGCCAATCTCAAGGAAATACCAGGGAGCCGGACTTCTTCACCACACGCTCCAGAACGACAGGTGTAAATCTGAAATAAAGCTTCATTCACACAAGTACATGTGCACCGGAATGTGTTTTTTTTTTCTTTCACAAAACCCATCTTGCTCTCCTTTTTTATTTTACACACACCTATAGGGGTGAAAGTGAAGGTTTGGGTCTCAAGACGGGATTGGTTGCCCATCAAGTGCCCCTGGAGCATCTTTGGGGAGGCGATTAAAAGCCTCACTTAAGTGCCCACATATTATGTGGCTCTTCTGCCGAGTTTGGGATTCAAACCAACAACTTTCCAATCACAGGCACAGAGGTATAGCCTGCTGAGCCACAGTCTCCCTATCTGCATAGAAGCCTATCTATATAAAGACACTGACGGTGATTTCCTGTGACGGCTTTGCTTTTTGGGACTTGACCCTAAATAAAGGAGCACAGAGCCTGCACCAGAGGCCGTCGCTCTGGGTTTTAATGTTCTTTAGCTACGGCGAGGAGTCTGGGGTGACCGGCAGATGGGGTCTTCCCCTCAAACCACATGGTTTCTCCCTGGAAGTTTCCAGGCCTCTGGGAGAAGCTGGCTCTCAGTATGCTGAGATAGAGATCTCAGCGAGATTCACTAGGTGTCACCGTGTTATGTAAGCTGACATGAGACAGAGAAGCATCGGCATTACCTCACAGGGAACAGAGAGGGCGGTGGGCTTGCTTGGAGGTGCTGTGGCGTGAGACCCGGCGAGAAAAGCGGAGAAAGCAAAGTCTGGAAACACTCCAAAGTGTGGAAACACCTCAGTGACATCAACCCAGCTACGGCAAGCACATTGTGACTAGAACCAAGGTACAAGATAAGCGAGCACGAGAATAGCATTCCGCTCATAATTGCGAATCCAGCTAGTGATAAACCTATCCCAGGAATGCCGAGGCAGGAGGCAGAGTAGAGAGGATACCAGTCCTTCTCAGGCCAAACACACACAATCACCCGCAATCACATATAATGGGATATTCCATGACACCGATTCACCTAACCGCAAGGTTGAACTCTTGGGGAGAAAAGCCAGAGCAGCTGGAGGAAACTCAAACACACAGGAGGATCAAATACAAATGACAGACAGCAGGAATCAAACCCTGAACCCTGGAGCTGTCAACAGTTAACTGATCCACCGATCAGCCCTATTTAAACACTCATAGGCGTTAAAGGGAGAGTCAGGTAATGTAAACACGTCCAATATGTAATACTTCATACTTTTGCACCGATCCATTCCACAGCATGAGACTGCTGCTCTTCTGAGCAACACTTATTTTTAACGTATGGCAATTTACATTTCTTTATTTGGCAAATACTTTTCCTGCAAGTCAGTGAAATTGTAATTAGTGTAATTAGTACAACGGCCAAAAGAGACAGCAAGGCACGTGCGGCATCGCTATCTAAGCGAGATACTAAAATATTTTACGGATGAAGAAGACACGGTCTGAACGGCGCCAACTGAAAGAAAACTAGTTTGGCCACAAAACTCATAAATACAGTAACTCAAAAATAGTACCGCAAATTAAAAGTAGTTGAAGAGTTGAACCAATAAATCTTTGCACAACAGTGCAAAACTTTCAATAACTTGCTAGATGATCGTGAAAGGCAAAAACCACACGACACATTTTATACAGATATATAAATTATTCAAATTACAGTCAGCTGAACAATTGAACATGCTCGTCTCTGTCTTTAATTATTACTAAAGGATAAACCTATAAGATTTAAAGACGCGCGCATGGATGTGAAGAAACTCCCGTGTAGTTCTCACTTCCAAGAAACACTTAAGACTAAAAACTAAGTAATTTTTCTGGTAGGGGGTGTTTTCGGGGGCAGCTCGGCCCCGAACCCCGCGATTCCTCGCACATGGACACGCCCTTCCGCGCACTAAGCGCCGCCTTTCCCGGGAAATGCAGGGGCGCGACACGTGATCGCTCTGCCAAAATCCAGTATGGCGGAATTTGTCAGTGAGTGATTCTCTCGCTGGCGCCGTCTCCAGCAGGAATTCAATATATTGCGTTTTTCTGGATTGGAGTGGCCGCCTCCCCGGGGGCAGGTAAGGTTAACGTGCGTGTTAAGTGCGGAGCGATCGCGCAGCGCGGCGTCCGTTTGAGGAGCGCCGCGCAAATGAGCAGCCACCTTCACCGGGGAGGATCGGGGAAGAAAATCAAAACAATGTGAGCCCGAGGGTTGCTCGCTGTGCAGCGCCCGTGATGTTTTGCATCTCACTTAATGGTGAACTAGTCGCGCAGCTCGCCTTCCCAACTAATATCATCTAGCCACCAATATTTTACTGGTGCAGGTACGGTCCAATGTGCACGTAGAATGGGTTTCTGATTGAAAGGTGCGTTTACCTATAAGTATTGCTCTTGCGTTAGCTAGCTTTGCATTTATCCGATTGGCCCTTTCCCAGACCAATTCGGGTGGCTCTTGTACTACTGGTGGGCTATTAAAGACGTAACTATTAAGTTACAGTCGATTGAAGTGCTGCTTGGCCAATTGGCGTGGACAATCAAAAGGCGGGAAATCCGGAATGTCCTATAAGGTGTAATTGATCGGAAGTGGGCAGGGCTTCAGCGTGCGTGTCCTATAAGGTGTGATTGATATGAAATGGGCGGGGCTTCTGCGTGCGTCAACATTTTTTGTGAATGAGGGTAGGTTGTTTTTTTTTTCTAATATTCTGGAAAATGGTGCTTGATACGGGACACGTAAGGTAGAGATCCGAGCTCCAAGTGTACCGTGTCGATAGACTGCAGTAAGTTTTTTTTTGTTTCCCCCCTTTGTCGGTGCGGATCGGTGCGTGTCGCTGTAACTTGTGGAAGCCGGGGCCGGTGTTGGGGGGGCTCAACAGCCTACCACGGAACTCCGTGGTAAGTTTACCGCGATGCGTCGCGATCACTTCCCCTTTGCACCCCGTCTCCTGCGAGGGAAAGATGCCCATTTCGGGCTGAAGCGATGCCTGTGCATGGAAGTGAGATATGGTACGTAGGTATAAGCCAGTGAGCCATTCCTCCAGATGGCCGTGCGGGAGCCAAGGTGCCTGGCCACGGCAGTTCTCAGTGTATGACCGCTGATTTGAACGGCAGCACGGTTCCCACACTTTTCTGCAGTACCAACGCTAGACCACATTAGATCTTTTCCTATGTGTAGTTGTTTACTTTTATGCAATTAAAGTTGCATGCTTGACGACGCAAAAACATCGTCAAATATACGTTTTTTGTAGATGCCAAGCATTTTGCTGCATTGATATACATATTTATGGCAGTATTCAATATTTATGTGTAAATGTTGTAGTCTTAGGAGGATATTTAGGTGGTGTTCAGATTACTTATATTACTTATGGTTGATCTTTAAGGCAGTGACCTTTTTTACAAATCAGTTTTCTTTTTAAGTAGGGGGGAAAGTGTGTTCCGTGTTTATATGCATGTACTGTACAAGAAAACGTATGAAGTTGTTATTAACTTTCCTGAAAGGTTGAACTTTCTGTTGACTCAGAGGAGGAGACTATGACGAATTTCCTGTATGCGTCAGATGGCTCTTGCCGTTTGTAGTAAACACATGCTGGCTGTCCCGGCGGCGTTATCTCTGGCACGGTAGGCTGAGTGTGTCTCTGGGCCTGAAAGGTCACCCGGCATCCGGAGGGGGGGGGGGGCTCTCACCTCTATCCACACCACAAGGCATGTGAACATTTCTGTGATCGTTGCTGTCACACCTGAACGAGGCTGCTTCCCTCTGCTCCTCTCTCTGCAGGAGAAGGTCACAACTGCCTTGTGGAGCCTGGTGCTCTATTACTGATGTGAAATTAGGAGATATACTCCAGCATGGTGCTAAATGGCTCCTGTGCTTTTGTACGTTGTGGAGTAACAGTCCTGAAGGGTACGGGCGGGAAGCCGCTAATCGATTCCGTGTGCATTAAGTCAGAAACCTGTCCTGAGTTACAGCAGTTACTTTTGGTCTCCTGGATGCCGGAGAGTGACGGGGGTGGGTGGGTGTATGCTTACCCCCTCTGTGGTCTAAGAATCTGCTTGAGGGTGCGCGGGCTGATTACCACAGAGGGGGAAGGTGTGGCACTGTTCTGAGGGCATCCAGCTGCCATCTTGCATCTTCTGGCGTGAAGTTTGCTTTGGCATCCCCGCTGTCCTGGCATGGTTTGACTCAACGTGCGTTCTGACTTCCTGGTGGCCCCGCCCACATCCCCTGTCCTGCTGTTACGATGCGTGAGCCTGTTTGCGCTGGTGTGTGCCTGTTAACGGGGGGGGGGGGGGTTAGTGTCGTGGGACAGGGTCCTGCACACCCTGTGTCGCCGTGTTAAGCCAGGGCAGCCGGGCCAGTGAAAGTAAGCAGTCTGCTGCTGGGGGGGACAGGGGGGGGCGGAGAAAAACTTTCCTTCTTCTCGCTTTCAAAGCATTTTTACACGCGCAGCATAAAGGCAAAGTGCTCATTTCCTGCTTTCTGTTTGCCTGAAAATAAAAGCCTTTTGTTGCGAGACGAGGAAAAAAAAAAACAGCGAGTGGGAAGTGTCTTTTGCATGTTACACGTTCGCCCCGGTGACGAAAACGACCTTTTGAAGTTTCGGATCTGGCCGCTTCGGAAAGCGCATGCGGTACGGAGCAGGAGCCGATCGCCTCCTCTTAACGGCCTCGAGTTTTATGCTCCTATTTTTTTTTCCCTACTCCAAAACGGCTTATTAGAAAACGCCCTTGATTATTCACTCACGCGTCAAACAGGGAATTTTTTTTATGAAATGAATAATGAAGCAGCTTGACTTTGGTCGGCCTCTACGTACAGATACTGTAGCCGCAAATATTCGGTGCTGCGTCCAAAACTGCCGTTGCCGTGTTCCTCCTCGAAAACGTTTGGCAAAACCCAGACCTTTTGGGAATATTTGGCAAACAAAATATGTACGCTTGCGAGTAATTTTTGGACTGTGAGGGGACCATCCCTGAAGTGCTGGGTGTGCTGTCCGGGGACTGTGGATCACAGGGGGACACGGAAATGTCGAGACGGGTGCAGAGGGGTGGGGTTTCGGGAACGTGCTCGGAGGGTGTGCTCCGTCTGCTTCACGGCAGGGAACACCCCAGGACGATGCTTCTCACGGAGCGCTGCGTCTGTCGAGGGGCGTAACCGAGAACAGGGATGCCCGTGGGCGTATCGGCGCGGGTGCCGTGCCTCCCTCCACATGCCTGGATCTTTTTGACGATCGCTCTTCAGCTTGTGTGTTTTAAGGAAGTGAGGCCTGCCCACCTGTTAGGCCTGCCCACCTGTTAGGCCTGCCCACCTGTGCGTCAGCACACCCAGAGCTCCCCGGCCTATCACATTCAGGCAGAACTTGTCGATGCTCGCCTGCTAGACTGTGACGTAAAACGGGCTTTGCGGCATCCATGTGCCTCAAGCCGTCCAATGAGAGGCCCCGGTGATGTCCGCCGCCCAGGGCATGTATGTACTGTGACTGACTTTTGGGAAATCAGCCCTGGGGCTTTTCTGTGTGATGTCAAACATGGCGGTCCGACTCTCATATCACAACCTCCATTTGTTTTTGTTTCGTTTTCTGTGTAAAAGTCGGCTGGAAGATTTTGCAAATGTCATATTATTATGACATTGGTAAAAAAAAAAAGTATTCTATCTTTGCATCTTCAGCTGAAGAACTAAATATAAATATATGCCCTACATTTATATTTCTTGAATATTCGGTCTCTAGCTTCATTGTTTGCCGAAATTTTCCATACCTGGGCTTGCCGGACCGCAATGCCAGTCAGGATTTGGTTTTCAACCCAAGCTGATCCCCGGATGGTTTCATGAGGCTCCGCGTCCACATGCACATACACACTTGTGTGCATGTGGCTGCAAATCAAGCTTTGATATAAATTATTTACAGCCAATTAGATTTGACTGATGGGTGCTGTACTGGAGAGAAAGGTATTTGCAAGATTAATTTAGTATATGGAGTGACAGTAGTTACTGACTGCTTTCTGACCGCGTGCTGCTTCTCTTGCTTGACTATGCTGTCGCGGCTCGGGGGTCCTTTAAGCACGTGTGAACGTAGGCCTGTTTCTGATCTCGCCGCCAGGCCCTCTGTAGGCAGAGAACCTGAACTCCTCTTCAGGTTACTTTAGTACGCTTCCTTTCCGTGCTGCCTCACATATCGGGCGTGAATTTGCGTGTTTTTGCTCCACTGTTGTGCGGCGGGACAATAGTTGCTAGGAGGGATGGGCGTGTGCGTGAGCCACTAAGAGCGTTTTCAGTTCAGGCGCAGGCACGGTGATTTGTGAAGGGCAGAGTCTTCAGTGAACGCCCTGGAGTTTTGCTAATTCCTCATTGAGACATCAAGGGAAAGGTTTGGGAGTCCGACCTGTGCTTAAGGGTGCAGCCAAACCCAGCCGTTAGTCTCTCCTCCCAGTCCCAGGAGATGGGTCACCTTGTGTCCCTAGAGCAGGTCATTTCGGTGACCCTGGGGGTCTGCACATTGTAGCAAGCGAGTATCAGAAAGTCACTGGTTTAAATCCCTGGGTCAGAAGAGTGATGTCACTATTGGGCCCCTGAGCGAGACCCTAACCCCCCCACTTGCTCCAGGGGCAGTGTGTCCCTGCTTTCTCAGAAATGTACGTCGCTTTGGATAAAAGCGTGTGTTAAATAAATAAAAATGCAAATGCAAATCTGAATGGAAGTGGCATGCTGGAGGTTACAGGAAACCTGGTGAATAGCACACCTCAGAGGTGAGGGGGCGTCGTTTAAATCAAAGACGGGGTGACTCATGGTAACGTTCTGCCCACGAGGCAGTCCTCTGTGCCTCGGCGTAACACTGAGGTGCTGCCAGCACTATCAGCCGGCGTCGGGGACACTGGGCCCTGGGGCCTATTCCCTGTTTGTGAAGAGCGGGACCTTTGAGCCGGCCCTCCGACATGGGGGTGGGGGGTGGGGGAGCGGAGTTCACATTCAGATGAGCTGTGATGAAAGCAGGTTCGCCTGCCGCCTTTGTTTATGCCTCTGATATGCGAGGCCGCTGGGGGCATGAACTTGGTGCGGAGGGACATTTGACGCTTCATCTGTGGGCTGCATTCGAACCTGGGTCAGGCTTCAGCGCTGATCTGCACATTCTCCTTTCACGACCTTAATCATCTTCTCTAATACTTCTATAGAAGTAATATTAAACTATGCCACCCCACCCCCACCACCCATATCTCATATTGACTATGGATTTGTGCTGCTTGTCTGGTGGGGGGCAGTCACTCTGGTGAACTGTGACAATGAATTGCATGCCCTGTAGGGGGTGCCTTTCCTAATTGCCCTGAGCCCCGAAGAGGAGTGCTGGAGCTCTAGAGGTGTCAGGATAACCTTTATGCATTGCGTTGCGTATCCCTGTTTCACACAAAGTCCCTGGTTTCAGTCGCGGAATGTTCTGGTCAGGTGCATGATGTAAACACAGTGGTTTTGGTCATGGTGGAGGGCTGCTGGATGGGTATCACTGCAGCTACTGGGGTTGTGGGTTTGATTCCCGCCGGTAGCTCATAATATGTGCAGTTTACATGTTACATGTTTTTGTGACGATTTCCTCCCTGTACTGTGCAGTTTTATTGCTGATGTATTGTTTTATTGCTCTTTATAAATAATATATATTGAAGTGTATGGAACTGAGCTCTGTGATCTGATTCTTGTCCTCTTTTTCTCACCTATATTCCTGAAAGCTTTATTCCTGCTTTATTCCCACCCACGGCCTGTTGTAATTGACCTGAGTAGCAGCTAATGGTGGTACCTGTATACATAATGTGTTTACCTGTATGTAGGTCTGAAAACACTGCGGCAAAATGATTTTACGTCGCCGTGATGTAATATCTCATTTAGCAAACGCCCCCCATCGTCCCCCTTTGCTTCCCGTTTGCCATTTCACTGTGGACTCGGCAAGTTACGATGCTGTACCTGTGATCAGAAGGTCACCGGTTCAAATCCCAGGGTAGGCAGAGTGATGTCACCATTGGGCCCTTGGTCCTTAACCCCCATCTCCTCCTGACCTTGCTTTCTCCAAAAAAATTGCACATCCCTTTGGATTATGGCGTCTGCTAAATAATTAAAAATCTCAGCAGTGTAAACGCGCTAGGCTGGTGCGTGTTAATGCATCGTCACCCCTGTCATCGCGCATCACTCTGATTAGCCCGAAACCCACAGCTGTTTGTGTGTTATGTAGAATCACTCGGGGTCTGTGGGCTCTGTGTACTACCTTCATACGCTGCAGCGGGCCGTGCGCGCAGACTGGTGACGGTCAGGCCATCCGGGTGGGGGGCGACACCGTGGGTGGCCGGTGCTCTTCCGGCCTTGCGGTTCTGGCTGTCCTCCTGTCCTCGATTTTAAGGGCGACCTGCTGGCGATCTGCACCCCGACAGATTGCAGTTTGGTGTGAGTGTCACCGTCCCCCCCCAGCCCAGGTGTACTGCCAGTTCTTGGCCTCCAGATGTATGACTGGAGTGGGGATGGGACAGGGGGTGACTGTTTTGCTTCTGTACAGTCTGATCATGCAGCCATGTAACTAGGGTTGCAAAATTCTAGGAATATTCTTGTTAATTCCCATACTTTCCCGTTAATTCCCATGGAAAGTTTCTAATGTGGAATATTTCCAAAATTCCCCAGCTTAACTTCCCATGGAACGGAAAGTTTCAGGAAAATTTCCAGAAATTTTCCAGCCCTTTGCAACCCTACATGTAACTAGCAACACAACCTGGAATTTCAGGGGTTTTATATGAATCTTGAAATATATTAATCTAAATTCTCCGGTGGATAAATAAACAAAGAGCAATCGATGACCTGACCCCCTCGCCCTAATGTGCGTGTGGGCGAGTTGTTAATTTTGGGGATCTTGAAAATCATTGTATCAATCCGGCCCCTGCGAATAATCTAACTAATCTTCCAACAGGACAAGTTGGTGGGCGGAGCCTGAGGAGGCAGAGCTCAGCCTGTGAGGAGAGGAGAGTGCCTCAAAGCTTCCCCTGCTGGGTGGTGCCTCGCTCGCTGGCCTCGGAGGAGCGGTGAGGTCCTCAGCTCACCTCGTGTGACAAAAACACAAGATCCCCACCCCTCACCCATCTCCACCTGCAGGGGAGTCACCGCCCACACGGGGGCGCCCCGCCGATGATGAGTTCCCGCAGTCACCCAGGTGAGATCCCTCCCATCATTTGTTAATGGGAACTGATTTCATGTCTAGAATTGTACCAACGCGGATCCCTTCCGGGCCCGATGGTCTCCCCACACCTATCTCGGGATAATCAGCCTTGCGGTTAGATCCTGGTCCGCAGGAGCAGTTTGGGAGTAAAAATGCTCCATCGGCTCGTCTGCCAAACCGTCTGGTCGCACCACTGGTACCGGTGACGCTCTCAGGCCCGGAATCGCGTCCAGTTTTCCTGGGTTTTCCTGCCTTTTGCTTGATGGATTTTTACCGCAGCCACTTGCACAGCTCAGAGGGGTATGAATAATCGATGATCCGGCGAATACGGGATGAAAAGCCGGCGTTCCGGCTCTCGGCGTGTTTACGGTCTATGCTGCTGGTACTCGGGTGCAGAGAGAGTAATCCGGGTCCCGTCCGCCGCCGCCGCAGGTCGCACTCGTCTTTACAGTTCGTCTGCCACCCGGGTGAGTCACCACCCTGCAGCCCAGTGTTCCTCTGAACCGTCTTCGGCGTTGTACAAACCCCCACCTGTTCATTCATAATCTTTTTCGGGCGACTGTGTTCACGGTACGTTTGATCTGTCCGCCCCCTGAGCTCCCTGCCAGGGGTGTTGGGTACGCCCTAGCCACGTTTGGGCCTTTTTGGGGGTGGGGGAGTGCTGTATGTAGGGCCTCGCCCCGCCGATCCAGGTTTCCAGATCCCCGGATCATCGGGATTTGCATCCAGGCGTGGGGTTCGACGTTAATCCGGGGTTCATCTGGTCCCGTGTTCCATATCGCTATTTTTTGATATTGCTTATTTTCATTCTTATTGTCTCTGGCTTATGGAAAGCCTCAGTGTGAAGCTGCAAGGGAAATCGCCCGCATCGGATCTGTGTGAGTTCCGTAACCTCAGAAATGGAGTTTCCGTTTAGGAGTATCTCAGGCTTGACGGTGGACGTGTCTAACGATGTTTTTAGTAGTTCATTTGTCCAAACTGCAGGAACCCAGCTTGGCTTTTGAGTCAAGTGAAAGGCCGGTCATCCATTAGTCGGCACTCCCCCTTGTGGAGGAAGTGGTCAGTGCGTGGCAGCGTGTTCCCCCTCGTTTTGTTTGTCTGTTCAGGAAGCATGCGGGAGGGGGTTGCCATGGCAGTAGCGTAAATGAGGGCCTGCTCCCCGCCTGCAGATGGCGCTGTCCGTGGAGGCCTTGGGACGCAAACACCTGCCTCTCCGAATGGGAGGTCTCTGTGTTTGTCTCAATGCCCGGTCACGTTAGCCTCAATCCACAGCTTCTTCCGGAAGATGTAGAACGCTCCGTCACACCGCCACCGTGTTTGGTATCTGCTTCCTGAACCGGCCACATTCTCCCAAAGATGACCAGGCTGGTCCACCGGCACAAACATATTCCTCAATGGAAAGCAAGATGTTCTGCAGATCTCAGCCAAATGCGTACTGCCCTGTCTCTGCGGCTAACCTGTGGCCCGTTCCCCTGCTGGGGGGGCTCACGCTGACCTACAGGCCCCCTTCCCTGGTATATAACTGTAGATTACAGCTTGACAGTTCCAGTTGTTTTTCCATCTAGCAGTTGCGTAGATAGTAATTGTTACCATCTGAGCAGCTGGATGGCAGCTGGGCATGTGACCCGTCTGGCACAGGGTGCGACGGTAGGAGACTGTCATGGACCCGGTGATGTTCGGAGTGTGGGGGTCCTTGTTCTTACCCGCTATGCTATCTGCCATGATGGGGCCTTCAGTTCCAGGTAGGTGTCAGCCTGTCGTTCCTCCTTGCCTTCATCCTGACAGTATTGAGAGCACTTATTTGGCCATCAGGTGGGTTTTGACGCTGCCCCCCCCCCCCCAGTGATTCAGGAGCCCTCAAGCGCTAACGCATGATATCCACTGTTTTGATGAGGGCTAGCCCTGAGGTTCGTGTTTGTGTGGTCACCACCCCCCTCCACTCTCTGGACCGATGGTCGACAAATCGGCCAGTCGGGGAGCAGGATCACATTCTTACCCAATCATGGCCAATCAAAAGCTTTTTACCCACAATTCCTCACGTGACATGGGCTGCTTGCATTTCTTCAGTGTTCTCTGCCCTCTCTGTTGATTAGAGGCCCGCTGTGGCTCCATGATGAGCATGTTTTTCACCTTGCTCTCGTCAGGGGGAGTGGGGAGACAGACGAAAAAGAAAATGTCTCTCAGTCTTTCCTAGAAGAGTGAGCCCTTCCTGGCTGCCTCCTTGTCACTGTTATGCGATCGTCCCCCCCCCCCCCCTCAATAAGGCTGAAGAGCACGCTCGCTTGGGGCAGATGATTATCTGTTTCACAGAATTTCGATATTTTCACATTTTTAAGGGAGCGGCGCACCCTAGTGCAGCCCACGTCCAATCAGAGCCTAGTGCAGCCCTTCGCCTCGGCACGCTCCATTAAGGGCCGGGGGCGGGGGGGAACTGCGGCTCTCGCTTTTAACCACTCGTGGGCTCTGGCACAGACGTGCCGTGCGGCCCAGCGTGTCTGTCTGGAGCGGTGAATCTGCATCCTCCCAGGGTTAGAGTGCAGCGGGGACGTATAAATAAAAAACATGACTTTATCGTTGGCTTTGCGGTGCCAGATCCCGGTTCCCCCTGTTCCCACACGGATTCGGCTGCTGCCTCCAGCGCTGCTGCGTCGCCTCTGCGTCATTTCTGCGTCGTTTCTGCGCCCGCACCTTCTTCACGGGCCGTTATCTTCTTTCTGAATGAAGAGAAACTACATTTGCACATGAATTTTATCTGATCTGCCGGGCTGGAGATGAGGCGTGATGGGCTTTTTGGATGCATTCAGGCTGTGCGGAAAGTTCCGGATGACGCTGTGGGTGTTTTTCGTCTTCACGGCTTCTCCCTGTGGTCCGCACTACAGGCCGCGGCATCCGGGTCCCCGCGTGTGGCCTTCCGCTTGGCTCCGGAACCTTTTGTGTTCGGCGCCCCCCTCTTGGCACCCTTGACTTTCCTTTTTGCCTATGGTACCAGCCCGGGCTGGCAGGCCCTCTGATGTTTGCCAGGGGGTGGGTGTGCTACGATCCAGCTGCCTAACCCCCCCCAGAGATTTTAGTGCTGCTGACCCGGCTTGACAGTACATGCTGATTTGTGTTGCTGTTTAGCTGGTGGCGAGTCACGGTCCCTGTGGGCGGTCGCTACACGTCTTGCTGGCACGCAGCTGTCTGAAGCGGAACCCCATTCCTGACCCCTTTGAGTCGATGACAGCGTAGACCAGCCCGGGGGGTGGGATTTTGTCACATCAGTACGTTTTGTGACAAACGGTGTAATAATTACCTTGTAGCCTATGGCGACGGAAGACGGTCCACGCCGTCGCGTCCGGCGCTTTGTAATTATATAGCCAGCTACCCGTCAACCCGCCAGAGAGCCTCAGCCAGAAGGGGGCGACCCTGGCCTCTCTCACTCTCACGTTCAGCGGGCAGCCTCACCACGCTCGATGTGGCGGCACATTACAGTCCCCGTGCCGTGGGGAACGGGGCCCTTTGCGCATTGCAGACGACCTCCACCAGGGATGTTCAGAATTGCGATGCAACCACAAGCGACTTTTTCTGTTCCCGGTTTAAAAAAAAAATAAAAAATCGAGAGAGAATTCCAGAATGTGACAGATTGTGTCAACGCTGCAGCTTTGCTGGGCCAGAGTGGGAGATGCTCTCCTATCTCCTCAAAGGAAATGAAAACAAAAACAGCCATCATTACCGGTAAAATAAGGAACTAAATTAAAAATGTACTTGCTGAAAGTTACAGTACATTGCCGTAAGGTGCTATAAGGCTTGTTGGTGGTTTAAGGTCCTGGAAGCTGCAGACAGTGCAGATCAGGGAGTCTCCTCGGTGTGTGTGTAGAGGATCTCCACAAAGATGCACTTTCAACACTCTGAGTATCATTCCACGCGCAGCCCCTGCCCCTCTTGGTCCTCGATCGCATACAGTGCCTGTAAAAAGGAAAATCTTTCAAATGCTGCTTCAATGGCGCTAACACCCCCATGAAATTATTTTGGAAGCAAGAGATCCCCCAACAGTATGGTCCTGCACGTTTTGGGGTGTGTGGTGCACATTTTTGCCATGGAAGGGGGGGGAGGGCATTTTGGCAGGGGGGTGCCAGCAGCCTGGGCACCCGGCCTGAATGCGTTAGTGGGCCGCGTGGTGGCCAGTCTGGCACGGCAGCGTCCCGTTGGTAGCCACAGCTGCCGTGGGCCCACTAGGATTCTGGGTCTTTTGGCACCCGCTAGATCACCCCCCCCACCCCCCAGTTTCTCGATCTACTTGTAAGGGAAAGTGGAATAAACCAGAAGGAAATGCACTAAATGGAGCATCCTCCTCAGTTAAGTAAGTGCATGTTTACCGAAGATGCATTTCACATTTTATAATTTTTGAGGTTTTCTGCGGTGTTTATTTTTCGTTTTTTTAAGGTATGAGGTTAAAATTGAAGGAATATCTTTTCCGAATTTTTTTTAAAATATTCTGATACATCTGTGATCTGTCTGTAGTGTCTGTAGGAGCATTAAGTCAGAATCTCACAATCTCACAAACGGCCAATGAGTAGGTGGAGAGAGCAGTCATGCGGAGGGGGCAGCCAATGAGCATGGCCCCCAAAGGCTGGCAGCCAATGAGCAAGTAACCTTGGCTGGAGTGAGCCTCCCGGCCGTCTGTAGGGGGCCCTGGTGTGGTAGACGCATGTCATACACAGTACTGGTTGCGGTACATGAAAGGGATACATGTTGCGGGGAGGGGGCTCTTTGTGTAGCCCTGCATGTTTCTTGAGGATGCTGCAGTGGCCGCCTTGAGCCCCCCCCCCCACCCTCTGTGAAGGAAGATACCCAGCAACTGTTTCTTTCTGGTACCTACAGGGCCTCCTGCTGGTAGGACATTGTAGCATTACGTCAGAATGGTCCGTGCATGCAGATGGCGGGGGGCTCTGCGCACAGCTGATGGGTCTGATCCACTTCGTGACTAAGGGGTTATGTTTGAGGCTCTCCAGACT